TAGCCATGACTTTTCCATCTAACAAATTCATACTAAGTCATAAGTTTTTAAAGAGAATGACTCCCTCTCATGCTCATACAACTTCAATTACACATCCTTCACTAGTTATAGCTCATTCATATCCAATGGTTACTCATACAAAATCAAGCCATGTAAAGCCTCACACCTTCTATATTGTGATTTCTCTAGCTATTCAACTTCTTACTCTTAAACTAGATCCAATCCTCAATGGCGTGCGATAATGGCCACTAAATTACAAGCTCCGCTTGTCAATGACATATGGGAGCTTGTTTCCTATCAATCAACTTATCATGTCATTTGCAATAAATAGGTTTACAAAGTGAGGACAAATTTAGGTGGCACCATTGATCGCTACAAAGCAAGATTAGTTGCCAAAGGGTTCAATCAATGTCCTAGGGTTGATTTTACTAACACTTACAATCTAGTTATCAAACTAGTTACTCTATCCCTAATTCTTTCTATTGTTGTCTCTCCGAATTGGATGGTTGAGCAACTAGACAGCTCCAATGCATTCTTTCATGGCCCCTTAAAGAAAGTGGTTTACATGTCTCAACTATAAGGCTTTATATATCCACAAGTGACCCACCCAAGTCCGTAAGTTGAAAAGGTCCCTTCATGGACTAAAACGGATGCCTTGTTAATGGTTAGGTGCTTTACCGACAAACCGATGTCTCTTTTTTCTTCAATTCATCAAGAAAAGACATCATTTTCTATCTAATTTAAGTGGTTTAATCGCATTAGACATCCCTTTACTCTTGACATTTTCTTAATGTGGCCCTTGTATTTTTTTTTATTTAACTCCTTCTTGCACTCTTTATTTTTTCTTAATGTGGCTTTTCCAACTATTTTCCAGCTAATTTTTTCTTATCAAAACTAAAAACTAGCATAAAATAATCTATATGGCATGACATGTCATTTTTATTTTTATTTTTATTTTTGCCACATGAAAAACATAAAAAAATTATTTTTTTCTCCCATGTCCCCTTCTCTCTCTCCCTTCGTTTTAATTAACCTAGGAATATACCAAATGACCTTTGTCCTTGCAAGTATGAAGGTCTTCCACTAATTATTTCTAGTAAAAGAAAACCAAAAGCATAAATATCCCCTCGAAAGAAATCATGGTGGGTTATCTCTTTCTTATTGCATTTCTAACTACTCTTTAGAGATGTAATAACAAATCTTCTCTCATAATAACTTGGAAGAAATCATCGAGTTAGAAAGATCATGTGACAAGTATACAAAGGTTTGCTTCCATATTACTAGACCATTACTTATGCTACGGTGTTATTTAAAAGTAATTTGTGTTGTCTTATTGTGTGTATATTTTTGCACGGATTCTAAGATGTTGAAAGAAGTTGTAGGATTCAGCAAGTAGGAGCTTAAAGTAGCTTGTGAACACTTCAGTAACATTATTGGCTCTTCTCTAGATAGTTTGGTTTACAAGGGCAACATGAAAGGTGGGCTTGAGAAATCATCAAGAAAATCAAGTTCGACTTATTGAAGGAACCGATCTAAAAGTAGATGATCTCGAGTACTCTTGCTTCATTGAACCTAAACTTGCTCATCGACCAAGGTGATTCCAATATAGTCTCTCTAGTAGTTAATGATTATTCAATGTAGGACACAATACTCTATAGGCTTCAAGATATTATTTCAAAGGTATGCTTCACTAATACTTTGATTCTTTCCTGTTAGGGTAATTTAGACTTATTTATAATTCCAAACCAATGCTTTACAGCGAGTTGGATGCTAGAATCAAACTCTATATTTAAGATAGCTTGTTTTGGTTGTCCCAAAGAGAAATGCACCAGCATTGTGCTAGTGATACTAGCGAGTACAAAAAATAGTAACAAGGATGAACAAGTTACTACGAAGGAAGAAACTAGTAGTCAAAGCATGTTAGTTAAAGCAATGTAGTTCTCATGCTTCTATTTTCGAATTCAATCTATCTTGTTTTGCATTTTTGCTCTATGAAAAGTTAAATTAAGATCTTTTAAGGTTGTCACCATTTTCTCGTTTGTCATCCTTATGCTAGAAATAAGTATCGAAAGTGTTTTTCCACTATTTAAAATTAAGGAAATAGTGATCGAAACAATTTAACTTCGACAGTTGACTTTTCTAAATGGAGGAAAATATAAAAAGAGCATTACGAGTTCCTCTTTCACAGAATTTCATTATAAACATGATTGAATTTGACCTTATTGATCAAATTAGTAGTAATTGCTTCCATTTTTTATGTTAATTATGGATGCATCTCTAAAGAGCATTTAGGAAGGCAATAAAAAAGACATAGCCTACCATGATTTCTTCTAAGAGAACATTTATCCTCTTTGTGTTCTTTTATTGGAAATAATCAATGGAAGAACTATATACCGCAAGTACAAAAGGTGCTTGGTAGATTTCTAGGTTAATTGAAATCGAAGACACAAAGAGGGAGAGAGAGATTAAGAGAGAGGAGAAAAAATATTTTTTTATTTTTTCCACGTGGAAAAAAATATGACGTGCCATGTTACGTGGATTATTTTATGCTAGCTTTCAATTTTGATAAAAAAAATTAGCTTAAAAACGAATCAAATGGGCCACAATACGAAAAAAAATTAAAAGTACGAGAGAGGTTGGATAAAAAAAAGTACAAAGGTCACGTTAAGAAAATGTCAAGAGTATAAGAACGTTTGATGTGATTAAACCTAATTTATATTAATGATTTGGTTATTACTTGTAACAATGATAACTTGGTATCTTCTTTTATCTCTACACTCTATTCTAGTTTTCTAGTCAAGCATCTTAGATGCCTTAATTTTTTTTAGGGATAGAAACTAATTAGGGTCCATATGGTATGTTCCTTTACCAACACAAATATGTCCGTAAGCTTCTTCCGAAGGCTAACATGCATCGTGCCAATCGCCTTGGCATGCCTCGCTTGTCCCAACACTAAGTTACATATAGTAGGCGGTACAATCTTTTCATATCCTTTCCCGTACCGAAGTCTCATGGGTTGCTTACAGCACCTTTGCATCACTCGTTCAAACATCGCTTACTCGTCAATAAGGTCGCTCAGCATATGCACTCACTCACAGGAGAACATTAGACTACATTAAAATGAATTCTTCATTATCTTCAAGCCATAGAAGATCATGGCTAACACAATCAAAGATCTTCCGACTTCTCTATTAATTTTTACACGTATTCCGATTGGAGTGGTGATGTTGATGATCATAAAATGACATCAAGCTATGTGATTTACCTTGGTATAAATCGATTTTATGGCGGTCTAGAAAATAATGCATTTTTGCCCATTTGTTCACCGAAGCTAAATATCATGTTTTGGCAATAGCTTGTTCTAAGGTTGAATGGGTCAAAACCCTCTCGAGGGAGATTGGTATATCTATTGGCCAACCACCAAAAATTTAGTGTGGTAATGTCTCGACCACATAACTTACCACTACACCTATTTTTCATTCTCGATCTAAGCATTTGAAAATTGATTTCCATTTTGTACTCGATAATGCTCATAACGGCATGCTACATATCTCGCTACTTACCTACTATTGATCAAATTACTAACATTCTTACCAAATTGTTATCTAGAACTTTATTTCAAAAGCAATGACACAAATTGTATATCCGTTCTAATCCTCGCTCAACATGCATGAAGGTGACAAGGATAACTCTTCTCGCTCCTATTATTTCTCCTATAGTGTGTTTACCGTCATTATACTTTTTTTATAGTTATCTTCTCCGACCGGCTTAATTAGTGTGTGTGTGTGTGTGTGTGTGTGTGTGTGTGTGTGTGTGTGTGTGTGTGTGTGTGTGTGTGTATACCTTAGTAAAGTTTGTAACGTGCGCAAACTAATAAACCGTTACACTATGAACTTCATGGCTAACTTTTGGCACATAAAATCCTAATAATGCTCGCAACAAAGCACCTTCGACTAATGTACCAATGTTGTATATAAAACAAGTACTAGCAATAATTTTCTAGTGGCTAGCAAGGTTTGAGAAACAATAACTACATAAACAATAAATTTAACAAGAAAAGAGCCTTTGTCAAATCTATAGTTGGTCAAATCACATAACTTATACATGCAAGAAAAAGTATAAGCAATTCAAGCAATCACGATTCAATAACTTCACCAAAAATTTGACACCAACAAGCAACTCCACTACTTTCTAATCCAAGCCAACTATATTGAATATTCAATAGTACCAAGTACACATATGTTTGTCTATGTTCCTTCTACTTGGCATCCCGACACTAGTACCACCAATCACACTCGTTCGACCTCGGTAACCTAAGCATTGCAGAAGATTATAAAAGTTTTAATAAATTGATTATTGGTAATGGAGTTGTATGCACATTGCACACAATGGTTCCTTTACATTATTTACTCAAAATAATTTGTTTAGATTAAGGAATTTTCTACATGTGTCTAACGAGTGCAAAATGTTTAATTTTTATTCAATAATTGTTTTTTTGTGAATTTCATCCTTATCATCTTTTGTGAACTATCGGATTACCAAAGTAAAACCCTTACTAGGCAAAACTAAGAATGACCTTTATCGGTTATGTCATAATCTTTTTTTTTACGCCATAATTATTTTAAATATTTTTATAAATTTCTTTGCTTTATTGTATAGTGTCGATTTCTCATGAGTTTTAGAGATGTTATTAAGGATTGGTTTTATTTATTTTTAATTTCAATTTAATCTTTTATTTATTATTTTGCTATTACTTAAGGGGAAAAAAAGGATCAATTTCGAATCAATAATTAAAGAGCTTAATTGAGATTAATTTAAAAGTATTATGGGTTAATTTGGGAATACTAGAAATATTGGGAAAGCAATTGAGAACAATTATTGCTCAGTTCGTGGAGATGGGGACAATTGGCACCAAAATATTGCGGATTAGAGGGTCTGATCGAAAACAATTAAACACACGATAACTGGAATGAAAAAGACGGATGAATCCCAGGACGAACTTAAGCATTAGTTTTAGACGACCCGCCTTCTGTTGTATTCATCCCTAACCGCAAGAAGCCTTCGTTACTGTACATCTTCTTCGCCTAGAAACAACAAAAAAGACAGTCCTTCCCTCACACCGCTGTCGCCATCCCTCACTCAAAGACAAAACCCATTCAGTCCAGCTTGTACCTTGGTTAGCACTCCCCATGAAAGATCCCAAACACATGCCAGCTAAGGTCCTTTTCCATTATTCCCGCCCTTGAAAGTGCTGGCCACAAAAACAACAGTAAAGGAAATTTAGACAGTTGCTAGAGAAGAACAAGAAGAGGAGCATTTTGTAAGTTTAAATGGAGGCTTGGGGTTAAAGAAAGAGGATCGAATGGTTGAAAAAAATAAAAAAAGAGAAAAAAAGATAAGGATAGGGAACAAGATAACAAGAACAAGGATAGGTATTTGATCTTCCTATGTCATTTCAGCTCAATGCTTGATAACAATTGATGTTTGCAATTATATCACTAATCTTGAAGAAATTGGGACCTAATCGGAAAAAACATTAAGTTTCTAGGCTATTTTGAGTCTTTATTCATGTAACATGGCTGTCATTGATATCGTAGGTTGAACTTCTTTTTTTTTAAAAAAGTTTTTACGCATTGTAAATATACTCTATCAGTGATTTATATTTTAAGTTTCAAATTTTGTGGAGATCATTGGTATTTATTTGCATTTTTAGATGCAAATATAGTTAAGAATTGATGAGATTTACCGGATATCTCATAGGATGTGAAATCGATACGTTTTCTAGAATCTAAGGATTGACGATGATCTCATACCATGATATTTGATTTTGATTTATAACAAAACTAACGCTCTTTTACGATTTCAGAATAAATAGAAAAATTAGGTTGAGCCAATATATTTTTTATTTATTTGAGATTGACGGTGGTCTTGACATTTTTTACTTAATAATAACAAATAAAAGAGCTTTTTTTCAGGTTAATTAAAAAAGTTAGATTGAATCAATGAGTCTTTTATTTATTAAAGATTAACATTGGTCTTGCCATTTTACTCGGGAGTATAAAGAGGAGAATAAATTTGCAAGAATGAGTATGGGTCGGTTTCATAGACATGTTGCACATGCCACATCATGTCGTTAGTAGTGGCGTTCGATGCATACATCCTTTGTAATTCTAGGGTTATCAAAAAATAATAGATATTTTTGTAGGGGACATATTTTCTCTAATCGACCCCTACCTAGGATCTCAATATCGAGAATGATCACATGTTTTACAAGTGATTCTCTCACTATCTTCACCTCAATGAATTATGCAACCATTGATGCAACTCGTCGATCTTTTCAATAGGTAAACTCATCATTTCCACCATTTTTTTGGTACTATAAAAGTCTTCCGGCATGCGAGTTATCGGAAGGTATCAACTCTTTCATAAGTTGATATAAATCGTCGTAACACCTCTCTAAGAAATGATACTCAAACATGAAATGCAATAAACGAGACATTATCGATAACCGTGAATGGTTTATAACCCGGGCCATATTTACGTATTCGATGCATCTAATAAATCGTAAAACGCTTGTGCAATAGGGTTTGGGTCTTCATTTGTATTAGACGAATTAAATGATGGACCAATTGCATCCATCACCATTGTGTGGTATCGATTGACTTGACAATCATCAAATATTTACTCTTGTTCAACATATCCATGATGTCTCCACACATAATACATAGACGCAAACCCATATCTCGGAAAATGATACCTAACGGTATCGTGGTTTTCATAACTACGATTTTGGTATTTTTTTTTATTTACATGGACATCGTATCTTATTTCCATCTATGCACTCGGATGACTAACCACAAAATTAATAAATTCATTAATCCCTTCTACGAAACGCTCATTTAATAGTCCATCAATTAATCTAAAGTCAATCCAAGAATGATCCGAATTCATTTTAAACAAAATAATTTTTAAATTACTAATTAATTTTGTAATTACTTAAAAAATTTCTTTAATAAATCTATTTAAAAAAATAGATACTAGTTATTTTTTTATTGAGTAAACATTTAAAATATAATTAATAACTTAATTACTAAGCATTTAAAATATTTCTAATAACTTAATTTTTTTTATCTATTGAATATAATATCATAAAAACTTAAATTTTTTCTTCTTACTTAATATTGTAATTACTTAACTATTTAACTTAATGAACAACTAAATAAGCTTAATTACTAATAAAATATAAATTTACTAAATAAATTTTTATTATAATTTAATTAATATTTAATTTATTAATTATATTTGTAATTACTTAATTAACACCTTAACTTAATGAACCACTCAATAACCTTAATAACTTATTAATTTTTTTTAATAACATACTAAATCTATATTCAACAAGTATATATTAATTTTTTTAATACAACTTATTTTTTTTAATTTCTAAGCATTTAAAATATTTCTAATAACTTAATTTTTTATCTATTGAATTTAATTTTGAAAAAACTTAATTTTTTTCTTCTTAATTAATATTGTAATTACGTAACTATTTAACTTAATGAACAACTAAATAAGCTTAATTACTAATAAATTTAAAATTTACTAAATAACAATATATTACAATTTAATTAATATTTAATTTATTTATTAATTTTGTAATTACTTAATTAACACCTTAGCTTAGTGAACCACTAAATAACCTTAATCACTTATTAATTTTTTAATCACTTAATCGTAATAAGTTAGCTAAATTAGCAATTACCAATAACACTAATAACACTAATAATTAAATTAACAACATAAAATAATAATAATTAAATTTTTTAACTAAAACAATTAACAATTCAACCGACTAAATTCGCAATTAACAATCAAATTAGTTCAATCAACAATTAAAAATGAGAATAACAATAAAATTAACAATTAACAATAATATTTTATAAATCAATAATTAACAATTACATTAAAAAAATAATTAAACATTTAAATTAACTATCACAATTAACATTAATTAATACCAATACATTTTTTTAAACAAATAAACTATCTAAATTAACTCATAACAATAATATTAATTAAATCATCAATTAATAAAAAAGCAACACATGCAATAAACAATTATAAGTAATTAAACTAAATTTAATTGTTAATTTTTAATTAAATTATATTAAGTAACTAAATAACTGAAAAAATTAAAATAAAATGAGGGGGTTAGATAGGGGTGGACCTTTCACCAAGAGAAGGAGGAGAGGGGGTTGCGACTGGTGGAAGCCTTCGCGAGGAGATGTTTGGCCGGAAAATGAGCGGTGGAGAGATAGAGAGAAAGAAAGAAAAGAGGAGGAAAAGAGGGAAGAAAGGGGGATTTTTGGAGGGGAGAAATGGTAGGAGGAAAGAGAGGAGAAGATTGGATAGAACAAATGGCAGAGGAGGCGGATCCGAGGTGTTGTCGGAGGAGAAGAAGAGAGATGCTAGAGAGAGAATTGAAACCGCCAATTCTCAAGGGAGAAGGCGAGGTTTTAAAGGTAAAGGCTTAGCAACGGTCAACCGTCCGTCACTAAACCTCGTCACTAATAGTGTTTTTAAAATAAAAATTTTAAAAATTAGTCCTTTCCTACCGGCGGTTTCATTTTATCCACGGATTACCGAAGTTCTTCGTACCGTCGCTAATGTTATCTTTACAAAGGTTATTTTTAGAAAAAAATGTTGCAAAATTTGGTTTTAATATTTTTTATTTTCTATTATTTTTTAACAAGGGTTTAGCGACGGTCCAAGACCGTCGCTAAACCTACCAAGTTTGCAATGGTTTTTTGGTAATCGAAAATTTTCTTTTTCAATTCTTCTGATTTTAGAAATAGTTTAGCGATGGTTGACAAACCGTTGCTAAACCGAATTTTTTTGCAACGGTTTTTTATTAAAAAACTATTGCTAATCATAATTTCTTTTTTTTTTTTTTTCAATTCTTCTGATTTTAGAAACGGTTTAGCAATAGTCCATAGCCCATCATTAAACCGAATTATTTTTGCAATGATTTTTTATTAAAAAATCGTTGCTAATCTATTTTTTTTTTTTTTAGAAACGGTCTAGGTCGTCGCTAGACCGAATTGTTTTTTGAAATAGTTTTTTATTAAAAAAATCATTGCTAATCATCCTTATTTTTTTTTGAGGTTATGTTGTTTTAGCAACGGTTTAGTGACGGTTCTCGGACCGTCGCTAAACTTGCAACGGTTTTTTTCATAAAAACCGTTGCAAAAATGGTCTACATGTAGGGAAAAAATTAAACCCGTGAAATTAGCAATGGTTTGGTTAGACCATTGCAAAAAAAAAAAAAAATGGTTGGAAATAATAATTTTAGTAACATTTTTTTGGACCGTTGCTAAATCACTTAAAACCGTTGTAAATTTTTAAAATTAGCAACGATTGTTTGACCGTCGCTAAATTCCAATCGCAAATCTATCTTTTTGTTGTAGTGCAATAGTTCAAGCTCTAAAAGAGCTATGTAATCTATATCGCCCAGTTCTCGTCTGAAACAAAGAAAGATATAAGATACTTTAAGGGAATAAATAGGAAGTGCAAGTTTTCTTGAAGTTTTTATGCTGACCTAATGGGACTCTAGAAAGGAATGGCACTCTGATGGTGGTCAGGTGTGGATGTTCAAGTGGTGGGTTTTCGTAGAAGTTTTTGTTGAGTTATGTTGGCACGCTATCTTTATCTATAGATAAGCTATGAGGCATTTATAGGGAGCTACGTAGGGGAGATATGAAAAAATATATATATATATTGAAATTGGAAGAAGATGTGCCCTGGTTTTATATATGGGATACGAACGATGTTTCTTCTGATTGGAGGAAGGCAGGGTGTAGTCAGTTATGGGCTTCTCAAGATTCCATGATTTCTTGAATGATTGTAAAATAATGGATTTGAGTTTCAACGGGGATTATTTCAAATGGACTAATTGGCTAAGGAATGGGAAGATTAGAGGGATGGTTGATAGGGCGGTAGGTCATATCGAATAGGGAGTCTTTTTTTTCTCTAAGCTCAAGTGTCATGAGTTTTTTTATCTGCTTTGACCATAGGCCGTTGATTCTAAAGTGGAGAATGAGGTCTGATAGACTGTAACATTCCTTCAAGTTTGAGTCAAAATATATTTCATTTACGGATTATGGGGATGTTATTAAGAAAACATGGAATTATGGTGGATGTATAGGAAGGTTGAGGGAGAGAT